AAAAATACTTTTAATTCTATTCCTTGGGAGGTTATAATGTCGTCGCTTATCGCTAAAAATGTTCTGTACTATCTCGTCAATGTCATATCGAGTTATCTCCATAACAGATGGATCACTTATATTAACGATAGGCAGGAGTTAGTTAGACCCTTATAAGAGGGGATCCAGGATCGAGCCTTGTGGTACCCCTCTGTTCCGTGAACAAGACTTGGTCCTGGGTCCCCTCTTATGGAACATGGTATTCAACAGTATTCTTAACGTGGAGATCTCTGACCATGTTATGTTATTTGCTATACCGATGATACTTTGGTGGTTGCCGTGAGAGACAGCGTTGCAAAGGCTGTTACTTGCGCAGAAATCGCGGTAATCGCCAGGGAAATTGGGCGCATCGATCTCACATTGGTCGTAAACAAAACGAAGGCTATGATTTTTGTATCCAAAAGGATCTTTCGTCCACTCTCGATTATGATTGCCTTGCCGAGTCGAAGATTATATTAAATACTTAGGTTTATATATAGATAGTAAATGGATGTTTTCACAACATTTGAATACATTAGTTACGAAAGTAGACGCGGTTACTTTCTCACTTGCGAAGGTTATGCCAAACCTAAGGAGTCCATATGAGGAAAAGAGGCGAATCTTCGCATGGGTTCTGATGTCCATGCTGATATACGAAGCACCCGTGTGGGCTGAAGATATATCACGAAACAGGGACGTCCAAGGATGTCTTCGAAGAACACAGAAAAGAATAGTCGACAGAGTGTCCTGTGCATATAAAACTGTGACCTTTGAGACTGCGGTCATCCTGTCAAGGATGATTCCCGTCGACATACTAGCTCAGAAATACAAAAATCTATATCATAGGATCAAAGATCTTCAGAGCCAAAACGTGGAACTCACTCAAAGAACCAAGGATATACTTAAAATACAAGCGACTGAGCACGCCTTGCTGTTGTGGAAAGACAAATGCCGAAGAGCGAGTGGCTTCGGCAAGAGAGTCAGGGAACCGATATCCTCATACCTCGAAGAGTGATACAGGAGAAAGCACGGAAGAATATCATTCCACATGACGCAAATCCTTACTGGTCACGGATGCTTCGGCGACTATCTTCACAGGATTAAGAAAATAAATTCCAAAAGATGCGCCCATTGCCAGAGTAATATAAACAGAATAATATGCACAACATATTTTGACGGTGTGTCCGGCGTGAGATACCGAAAGGCAAGAACTGGTCAGCTCGATCGGTCCGAACTTGATGCTGTCCAGCGTAGTGGAGAAAGTCCTGGCCAGTGGAGAGAAATGGGATGCGTTCTCCAAATTCTGCAATAGTGTAATGACAGCGAAGGAGGAGGCGCAGAGGGTTCGACAGGCGGCGGGTCGAGCTCCTCTCCCTCCCGCCCCCCCCACCAACGCATCA